CCATGAACAAAGATCCCGGGTTCGAATCTCAAGTGATTCACACTTGGGGTTGGGTATGACTGGCTGATGACGGCTAATAAGCCAGAAATGGCCATTCCGGTCTCCCTTGTCTTTGTCGGTATCACTTTCTCAACATATATCATTAGTCGCTGTGCGACTGCCTGCGAGGGTTTAAGTATGAGCCCCAAGGCACAACGGAACGAGCATGTTCCGTAACCTGATCGGTGAGCGCCCACTATCATAATTAATATTCCCGATCACAACCGACAGGACAACGGGCCCGTGGCTCAATGGTAGAGCGTTCAACTCCATGACCAAAGATCCCGGGTTCGAATCTCAAGTGATCCACACTTGGGGTTGGGTATGACTGGCTGATGACGGCTAATAAGCCAGAAATGGCCATTCCGGTCTCCCTTGTCTTTGTCGGTATCACTTTCTCAACATATATCACTAGTCGCTGTGCGACTGCCTGCGAGGGTTTAAGTATGAGCCCCAAGGCACAACGGAACGAGCATGTTCCGTAACCTGATCGGTGAGCGCCCACTATCATAAATATATATATATATATATATATATTGAGAAGAAAAGGCGATCTCGGGAACCATAGTTTTACTGTCCTGACGTTTCAAAAGCATACAAGCTTCCATCGTCGGAGGTGAGTGTAGCATCGCGCCTCACAGTATTTATAGGTGGGTGACAGTCATGTCAAGATGGGGTTTTTTTACATAGGAAGTCAGGGCGGCGGGGAGGGAGTCCTAGAGCGTTTTCTCGCCGGATGAAGGGGGGGGGACGGAGGATCAGCTTTAGTGGTCACCAGCGCCTGCACGCAGGGACTGTTGCGGACGGGGGGGGGAGGGAGGTTGACGGGAAGTACTCAATCTACATCGGGGGCCGGCGTTGAGACGTTGGTGGTCGTCGTCTGTACCTTCATTGACCTTAACTGTCGTCCAAGGCTGGCAATCTTGTTTACGCCGCAACGGCTGTCCGTTTTCTCGTCCGCCGGACTAGTAGATGGAACGGCTGCGGTGACGACTGCGCCTTCGTCGGAACCAGGTTGAGGGGTGACTGAGTGTGCATCCGCCATGGGCTCGCTCATGTCTGGATTCGTGTTTAGCCTCGGTTCACGTCTGCTCATTTGTTTACTGAGCTGCGCTCGGAGGGCTTGATAGGCAGCGGGAAGAGACACACAACGGTTGATGGAGGTTGTCCCCGTGTGCCAAGCCTCGATTGTTTCCCTGGCTATGCGGTCGCTTGCCCATGCCCGTTGCAATAAGCTGGGTCTGTCTACCTCTGCCACTCAAGTCCCAGGGTTCAAGGCTCCTTTTTTCAACAAAGGGTGCTTAACACGTGCATGGCCAGCCAAAAGTGAACTTCACGATTCAAGCATTAGGAGCAAGCCTGCAATTACAGACTTGAATTCAAAATTTCTTAATGATGGGAGCAGATAAAATAGGCGTAGAACGAATATGCAAAACTGCTATCGAAACGTAGTGACTGTTCGGCCGTCGTCGCCAATGATGTCCACCGTGTGCTCCACAGGCACGGTGACCTGTGTGTGAATTAATTTATAGAGGTGGTAGACTTGCACAGCATCCACCGCACTCCCACTTCCTCCTACCCCGCATAAGCTCAGTGTCCAAACATAGTCAAGACCGAAGGCGGCAGAGGGCACAGGTGGCCGGAACGGCCGGACTCGCACCTAGGCGGGCCACCACATCCCCTGGTCCACGACAAACATTTGACCAGGATTTCAACCAGCAACAAAAGTGGGTCAGAAAGGGAAGGATGACACAAGTCACTACGCAGCCATGGACAAGAACTATATGCCCAGCGGCAGCTCAAGCGCATCCACCGGCATCCATCAAAACGTACTAATTGTCGCAGTAAAGTTATAACTGGCGTAGTTTCAGTAGCAAATAAATCAAGTCACGCATGAGCAGCTTTAAACGAGTTGTATTTATAAGGCGAAGTGCTAGCCTGGGAATTCAGACCCCGAAGCCTAGCACGGTCGCAAAGCAGCGAATAATCAGGTAAGGCTGGTGGACGTCGCGCATCTGTGACACTGAGCATATCCGACCTCAACACTTCGACGATGTGACTTGGGAATTCAGGTGACTAACGATCTCGACGCCGCTAAGGGTCCCAGGGAAGTCTGCTCTACACTATTGGGAATTTCAAGGCAGCTGACCAGGAAAGATACAAAAAAGCGACATCACCGCCAGGAAAGCTTTTGGTACGGAATTAAAGTTCCTCTACTAGCTCATAGGACAGAAGTCGAGGCCAGATGGCGGCGGAAACAGGGTACAAATACCCTGACGCAGAGAGACGCTCGCACAAACATTCGCGCATCCGGCTTCGAGCAAAAATAGAAGTAACAGACACGACAATAATGGGTCTAAGACAAAGAAAACGTAATCGCTCCCTGTTCCAAAAAAAGGGGAGCGATCAGGGGTGGCGATCGACTATACAACCAACAACAGAGCGAGGTCACGAGTCCAGGTTCAGAAATTGCTTTGAAAGAAGCGCTGGTAGGGCGAGGGGTGCCAAGCATGACTAGAGAAACGCGAAAACCCGCGGGGCATCATTAGGGGTGGGGGGGGGAGGCAAAAGGAGTCATGCACCGGATGTGGGAACACAAAGTCCGGTCTTTGCTGAACAATACGTGCAGAAGTCACGAGACAACCAAAGATGTCAGTTGGTACGCTAATGACACGCTGCTCTGAGATCTGTGTCACTAGCTGCGGGTTGCCAAGTGAGAAGGCCGACGGGTGAAGGTTGGGAGTTGAGCTGTGAGGGTGAAAATCACTGGACTGGCAAGGTCGGTGCTCGCCATAGTTAGAAGGAGCTGTCCCCTTCGGCGGTAGAGTACAGTGTACCACTTGCGGTTCATCGTCACCCTCCTCTTCCTCGCCGTCACTATCAATATTGATCACCTCGGTTCCTCGCGGTATGGTGGGGAAACAGTAGCTCCGTTAGGGTCGACGGCGGCAGCATGCAAAGGCAAACTAACTGGCGGTGACGGTGGTTTTGCTTCCTGCCTCTCCGTCTCATTCTCGCGATCGGAATCAAGAAGAGAAATCTCAGAGCGTGGCTCATTGTCACCTTTTTTGGTGCCACTGACCGGGGACATTTCTGAGACAAGCGTCGACGGCACTGTGGCACTGGGAGACCGTCGCGAACTGTCTACGATTTCCTCTTTGTCTCCGCTGTCGCAGTCCAAGGATATGCATTCTTCGGACTTCCGAACATCTGGATTTAAAGGGGCAACAGAGGCAGTGTAAGATCTTATCGACTCGCAAATTTCAGCCTGGCTGGCTGGATCAATCGGTGCAATAGCCCCAAGGTCAGCATCGTCATCTGATTCAGAAAGAAAGGCCGAGGGTAACTGCAGGTTGTCTAAAGGGAAGGGCGACCCCTGATTAGTTGCCTGTGCAGCGGTGGCCGCGGCATCACTACCAGCAGCGTCACTAGAGGCTGGTATTTCGTCTGAGTGGCCATCCAAACCCTCTTCATCAGATTCGATTACTATGACAGTGTCCAAAGTGGCTGCCGACTCCCCCAAGTTTAGTTGTTCCTCCAGGGGAGGCGAGTGCAGTACCAACGGGCTACAA